AACATAGCTGCTGGCATTTCTTTCATACACGCCTTGCATAGTTGCTTATTAGCCCGGTCCCCAAAAGCCTGCAATCACGGACCTCCTTCCTACGCCTGCCTGTCCTATTTATTTTATATTGCGTTGCGACAAGATGCCTTGTTGTGCTCCTGCTGGCAACAACGAGTACATCTCCTGCCTGATTCCTTCCCTTTCTGATAAGAATGACAGTGTCCAAAGTATACATATGTTATATTCTATGCTAACAATTCATATAGTATGGTATCGAGTAATTCTTATCAGGATTAGGCACTAACCTTCGGTTCTCCCCTTGACATATATCGGACCTTCTTAGGCCTCCCTGGAGGTCGGCGCACATTTGGTGGCATTAGGTCGCCACTAAATGCCCTTCCCATAATATTACTTCCCACAGATGGTACATGATAAATCTTTCCATCGTATCCACGCTTCCATATGTCGACATAGTATGCCGCTGCAACAAGGGCATCTGTTTGCACGTTTATACTATTTGCTCCTGCGAGTGCATGTTTGCAAAGGATTCCAACTGTTTGAAACTCCATGCAGGAACATTTGCCCTCCATTAGATTGATAGAGTAACATTCACCCTCTGGAGCCTGGACTTGAAACTCAAACCCACTTATACCCTTCACTGCTAAACATGTAGATTTCTCAAAGTTTTTTTCCACTCTTATTCTCGCATGAGGGGTAATTATCCCATTGTACCTTGTTGCTCTGGCACGTCTCAGAGAAAACCAACACATGACAGCCGTTTTTATGTATTCGAGCATGCAGATCAATGGATATTCTCTGGCCTCTTTAAGTACCTCATTCCAGGACTCCGCAATATTTGTGTCCATGATGTTGTATCGGCGTCCTTTGAAATGTGCTCTGATCTAATGGCCAAATCCTATATTACGTAACAGTATTAGTATAGTATATAAATTATAGGCTACAACTTTGTGAATGTTTATACAAACTTACCAATGTCAACAAGATAAGATGCACATCCGGAATTTAACCCCTGGATATCAATGAATTTTTTATTGAAGTCACTGACAGTGTATGCACGAGCAGCATCTTTCATCATACTTACAAGGCGCTTGGGTTGGTAAGAAGCATGGACATTACGCCACAGATGTACTGCACATGCGGCATGATGGGCCATAGAAAGCACATTCAACATCAATGGAGAGTTATGTCAATTATCTGTACTATTTGGACAATATGTTCACTGAAGTAATGGTATAGTACCGTAGATGGAAGAGTAGAATACATATTATCTACTATAATTTTGTGGACTTACTTTAGATAATCCTTCATATATGCTTGAATGTCTATCAGATACGAAGACAAGGTCGATGGAATCGTATACGAATGTACTTAGCTTCTGGAAAAACCATTCACACGCATCCTCATTCTCACTATCCACTATCTCATATGCTATGGGGAATATCTGGAAGTTTGCGTCTTGCGCTAATGCAGAGACAAGGCAACAACCATAGCGTCCCTTTAGACTTGTCCCATCGATGACAATTACTTTCCGCATGTACGGCCACCCATTGATTGAAGCATTGAATGCGATGAAACAGTATTTGAACCTCGACCCGCCTGCTGAATTTTCCATTATCTCAAGGAAGCAAAGAGTACCTGGGTTAGAGGCTTTCAGTAGAGCCAGATACGCTGGTATTAGCGTATAACTTTCAGCCATAGAACCGTAATGTTTCACCATTGCTATCTCCCTCGACCTCCATGCTTTCCAGTATAACACATTAACATGAAAATCATCGAGCATAATCTTTCACACACCAGCAGGCGAAGGTCCTCTTTTACAGCCAACAAATTGTCTTTGCATTATATCTCCTATTACTTGAGTAGTCACAAGTCGGTGGTAGTTGCGCCGTCTGTCAATGGTACAAGTATGCTTTAGTGTGGCAGATCTTATTTGAAAATTTCCAGATTTATCCAATTTCACGGCATATACTCTCCAGGGGCAATTACGGTCGACACATTTCATGACCATGAACGTAGGGGTTGATCTTGTTGTTAGGAAGTGGAACTTTCGGTTTATAGCATGAATAACTGCATTGATTTTGCAATCCACCTTCGATTTGAACACCCTTCCAATGAATAAGTTATCACCTTCGTAGAAGACATCAACCAATGCATTATGAACCCCTGCAGTCGGGCACAAAATGGGATCAAGTTGGAGGAGTAAATAAGATATTCTACAGTACCCGAGCAATATACTATTTGGTGGAAGTAGTACAGTAGACAATATGTCATATATACTTTTGCAGCTAGAGAATCCATACATATCGAGGAGATTTTTTTGGTTATGAGATTCTTACCCTGACAATCGACCATATCGAAAACCGGAGGAGCGTCTCTTGCGAAAAGAACCGGGTCGCTGCTGTTGTCATTGAGTATTGCGTGTAAAGACTCCTCAAACCTTCCCAAGTGATAAATGTCGACGTCCCTTCAGCCGGAGGTGTGTCCGCTGCTTTATCATCCTCGGACTCACAGTTCGACTCCTCATCATCATTTGAATCGTAGAATAGCCTCCTCCTGACAGCAGCAACATATCGTTGATATGTTGGGGTCCTTTGTGTGTTGATAGCAGCATCGCTGTCGGAATCAGTACTGTCAGGGGGCGTAGGGCGTTTACCCTTATTCGCCCGGGAAAAACTATGAAGGCTTAGAGGGAGAATTGGTATATCTCCTTCTATAATATTTATACCAGTCGCTTTATGTAGTATAATATCTCGGGGCGTCTTAGGATTTCTTGAACGAAGCGACATTTGTGTTGCATTGAACGTGAGCGGCGTTTCTGACATGGCAAACTCGTGCCAATGCTCCTCATGGTCTGAATCTCGTTCTCCACGACATGGGTTCGCTGCATTATCAGTTGTTAGCTGAGGGTGTGTTTCTCCGACAGCCATTTCTACTTCGTCCACATATCGGCTTATTGTAACACAGAGATTAACTTCCTCTATAGTTTGCCTCATTTCCAGAAACACAGCTACCTCATTGTCCTCTGTCATGTACTGTGGGTCGGATCCATCCGCGTCATCAATCTCCAACCAAGCAGGGTATTGGTAAGAGAGTCTGACAGATGTTTGATGCTGTCAACTGTAGATTCTCTTTGACGTCGTTCACCAGTTCGGAGTGACTCATCCCGGTCTGTAACTCTATGGTCCTCGTTCCTTCGGTGGGTAAGGACTCAAAGACCCATTTCCTAGTGGAATCTCTTATCCACTTCCCACAGACAACATGAACGTTGTCTTGATCTTCCATCTGTGAAAGAAAGCGATTTGTTTTTACTACTTCGTAAATATAGTGTAGAACAGACAATGAAAGTTCATGGTATACAAAATACTTGATGTATCATGACGGACAAGTGATATATAGTTTTCTATAACAGTCAATCCATACTATTTGCAATTAAATTCAGCGACATTGATTTAATGGAGGAATCTTACCAAAGTGGTTGTTGCCTCTGTATTTACTGATAACCTGCTCAGATCTGCGATGTTACTACTGGAAAAAAATAATATTTACATGGTATTAACAGATGCATCAACTTTTAATGCAGAGGGAAAAACATAATAGCCACACAATTTAGAGTTAAGAGTTCTTCGATTGGCAGGTAATTAGAAGTCATGGTTAGGTTAGTAAATGTGTGGATTTCCTCTAAAAACTACAGCGGTGTAAGCGTCATATCAAATGAGCTAGTAAATGGTTATTCCGTTCATCTGGACAAATATAGATCTGTTTTTTTTTTAGCCCATTGTTATTTCATACATTTCATATATGATAGACTGATATGGTTATATTGTTAATTTTGGACTCGGATATATCATATAGTTATTCAGCGAACCCATTTTATATATACATCAAATATATATATTTTCTAAAAAAATATGATATTTTTATCATTATTTTAAAAATATCAATTATTCTATTTTATTATTGTAGTACTTTTTCATTAAAAAAATATTCGATTATTTATATATATATATATTAGAATGTATGTCATTAAATTTATTCTTTAACAAAAAAATGTCATTAAATTTATTTTAATATTATGTTATAGATATATATATATATATCTATATATAAAGTTAACTATTCTTAAATTAGTATTAATTCATTTAATATATTTATAATTAAATTTATAATAAATATTATTACTGATCATTTAAATTTATATTATTTTTAATAATATATACTATAATTCTACAAAAAATTACAAATTAAAGTTTTTATAAAAATACTAACTCATATTTATACAGTAGATTTATCATATAAATTTATTATTTTTACCATAAGATTTTATTACAAACTATATCAAATTATAATATTAACTGTAAATCAATTTTAAAATTACATGTTACAGAATATACTTTTGCCAATACTATCTGAACAGAAAGAAAAAAAATCATTATGAAAGTGGCATTTGTTAATGAAATTGAAAATAAATAAAAAAGACGAGGAAAGTGGAAAGAACGTGACATACTGACATTCGCCGAGTTTAGAGATAACTGATAGGGAGTGATTCACTTTTTTTTTTGTTTCTTCTTCTCCACAATGTCCACATTATACGATCATGTTAATACTTAATTATTGTTTTACTTAAACTAAATTATCATTTAAGGTAATTTGAAAAGGACGCAAGAGAGAGAGAGAGAGATATAGAAGGTGGATTATACTAATATCTTTTTAAAAATAATTAAATTGTTTATTTTGCAGGTCGAGAGAGAGAGAGAGAAGAACTGACGAAGAATGAGAAGACGAAAGAGAAAACAAGATCGGAGACAGAGAGATAATAGATTTGAGAGAGAGAGAGAATGATGGAAACAGCTGTATCGTTGAGGCTAATAAACAAGAACGTTTTGTGAATCTCCATAAAAAATTATCTTCTTCTTCTTCTTCATTCCTCTCTCTTTTTTGTACAGCACGCAACAAAAATTTACAGATTGGTGGATTCGGATTTGTAAAATATGGATAAACGTTTGGATTCGGTGAATCAGGTGGTGGAAGAAATCATGAGAGTTCATAGATCTTTACCGTCAAGACCAGAGATGGACGACGTCGAAGCCGCGACTTCTCTGATACAGAACGTTGAAAAAGATGATCAGAATCGCTTGGAAGCCATTGCCAAGCAGAAAAGGAGCTCCGATGTTCCTCAGGAGCTTTTCGACGTGCTGCAGGAGATGAAGAGAGGCCTTGTTCATCTTCAGAGCAAAGAACACAGGAGAGAAGCCACCAAGGTTCTCGATCTGGAGTCTGTACACGTCGTGTTCGACGATTTGATTCAGAGAGCTTCTAATTGCATTGCTCCCTCGCCTTCCTCCAACGTCTCCGCCGCTCTGTCTCGGCCTGCGCCGCCGGTTGTTTCTCCTGATTCTCCGGCGAGGAGTTTGAATTATTCCGATCAGGCTCCTGTAAAATCCAAGGAAATGTTCACGCGGGACGATACGTTCGTGACGAAATCCAAGTCTTCGCTTTACAGCGACGGGTTATTAGCTCCTCGCAAGCCTCAGGTTTTGGATTCAACACTTCAGGCTAAGAAAGTCGTCACCGGTGAGTTCCATTTCCACCGAAACCCTTGAAATGGCTTTGAAGATAGAATCTAAAGTTTTTCAAGATTCGTTTGCTTTCTATAGGAATCTGATAGAAGTGGAACCACCATATATATATGTGTAGGCCATGAAATGTTTTTTGAAGTTTTTGGATAGAAACTGAGCTTTAAGATCATTATGTGTAGGCCATGAAATGTGAAACTGAGTTTTAAGATTCAGATATTGAATCATTATGTGTAGGCCATGAAATGTGAAACTGAGTATTAAGATTCAAATAGTGAATCATTATGTGTAGGCCATGAAATGTGAACCTTTTTGGATAGAAACTGAGTTTAAGATTCTCCATAATCGTTGTCTAATCATTGTTAATGGTATATATGTGTAGACAATGATGATGGGGAGAAGTTGAGTTTCATAAAACTTGCTAGTTTGATTGAAGTATCGGCCAAGAAAGCTACTCAGGAGCTAAACCTGCAGCACAAGCTTATGGACCAGCTCGAGTGGCTTCCAGATTCTATAGGCAAGTTATCGAGGCTGGTTAGGCTAGATTTGTCTGAGAATTGCATCATGGTATTACCTGAAACCATAGGAGGGCTTTTGTCCCTGACGAGGCTCGATCTCCACTCGAATAGAATTGGTCAGCTCCCTGATTCTATCGGAGACTTGCTAAACTTGGTCAACTTGAATCTCAGTGGAAACCAGTTATCATCTCTTCCATCATCAGCGTTAAGTAGATTGATCAATCTCGAGGAGCTTGATCTTAGCTCTAACAGCCTCACGTTACTCCCTGAATCTATCGGTTCTCTCGTGACCCTCAAGAAGCTAGATGTCGAAACAAACAACATCGAAGAGATCCCGCATAGTATCTCTGGTTGTTCTTCGTTGAAAGAGCTGCGTGCAGATTACAACAGGCTTAAGGCTCTCCCTGAAGCTGTTGGGAAGATAACCACATTAGAGATTCTGACCGTGCGTTACAACAACATTCGGCAGTTACCTACGACGATGTCCTCCATGGCTAACCTTAAAGAGCTAGATGTGAGTTTCAACGAGCTCGAGTCAGTACCAGAGAGCTTATGTCATGCCAAAACGCTTGTTAAGCTCAACATTGGGAACAATTTCGCCAACCTGAGATCGCTCCCTGGGTTAATAGGCAACCTTGAGAAGCTGGAAGAGCTTGATATGAGCAATAACCAGATCCGTTTCCTTCCTTACTCTTTCAAAGCGCTTTCGCAGCTGCGTGTTCTTCGCACACAGCAAAACCCACTCGAGGAGCTTCCAAGGGATATAATCGCTAAAGGCGCTCAGGTTACTTCTTGTCTCATCCTTTTGTCCTTCTTCCTCATATGTTTTGAGTCAGACATTGATGATTGATTCGCCATATTCTCAGGCCGTGGTTCAATACATGAATGATCTCGTGGAGGCAAGAAACACCAAATCTCAGAGAGCTAAGCCGAAGAAGAGCTGGGTCAACAGTATCTGCTTCTTCTGCAACTCCACTAACTAGACAACTCAGAGCAACGTGAAGCATCCTTCCTATATAAACCTGATCGTTTGTCATCTTTCTTACAACTCCAAACAACATGAAAAGTCGAAACAAAGAACCCAAATGTATACTTGTTTTTTGTTCATACCTCGATTAGGACTGTATTCAGAGAAAAATGTAATTCAATTTGTATTCTTGTTTCTATTGATGTTAACTTTTTTACTTTTTGGTGGCTGAACTGTGACTTAAATCTTGTTTCTTTTGGTGTACTCACAAAGATATAGTCATATGTCTCGTGTGTGCTCGACATGTGCTGGGATATTTTTGGTAACAACAAAACAAACTAAATAATGTTACTCAGAAGTTGATACATATTCAAAGATTAACATATTAAATACATATACTAATTACTAACTACACTCAAAAGTTAAAGAGTTAAAAATAAGACTACAGATCATCATCATAAGTCAAAACCTTGAGCTACTTAGTCATTATATTCTTCTGTCTTCTTCAACCTCTGCACCAAATCAGATCGTTTCTTCTGATCCACTTACTCAAATGAAACTCCACACAGATTCTTCCTGCGGTTCACAACAGGTTCCATGGGCTATTCTAAGTTCCTTCACCTTAACAATTTCCAACTTAGCAATTTCAGCCTGAAGCATCTGAAACATGGAGAAGACATTACAACAGGTGAAGCATAAGCTGCATAACTATTGTCTTCTTTTTAAAAAAAAAAACAAAATCAACAAACTTTAGATGCATTAAACACCATTTCTTGCTTTTACCTGTATTAGCTCGACCGCTTCCTTTTCAATTTCTTTACACTTAGCCAGGCGAACCCTACGATCCTGAAACATGACAAGACATTTACACTTGTAACGAACCAATATAACTATCTCTCTGTTCAAAATCAATCAAATTCAGATGCATCACACCATTTTCTTGCTTACCTCTACTGCACACTTTACTTCAGCCAACACCTGAAAACATGAGAAAACAAAAAAAAAAAATCAGATGGAGACATTATATAAACCAGCCGTAATTGAATCCTTTCTCAAAAACACAACTTCTTGCTTACATCTTTGGCTTCTTTGATTGTTGCTTTTGAATCAGGTGATAAAGCATCACCTGTAAGGAAAAAGACACTGATCAAGCTTCTTTCCCAAAAAAAATAATAAAAAAAACTATAATAAACATCCTTTACAGCGACATACAAGTGTAGAATCCATGAGCAAAAATTGACGATCCTTTCAAACCTCTCCAGAAAACCCCATTCTTACCCTGAGAAGAGAAGCCTCTTTAAACCTCAGTTCATGGTTTATCAAGAAGATCAAGCAACAAAAATTTGAATAACAAGAACAAAGGAAGCACCTTTAAGAGAAAAGAGCCCATTATCTTCTTCACCTCTCTGAAATAGAACAAATTCACCATCGATGTCATATATATACCGCTAGATAAAGTTTGCAAAAACAGATTTATTTATCTCAGAAAAGCACGAGTCTTCACAAATTAGCGATCTTATGGGTTTAACGTTATCTGGAGAAAATGACAGTAAGACAAACCCTAAAAACAAAATCGGCCGGAAAGAAACGAAACAAACAAAGAAACGGCATTGACTGTAGACAGAAAAACAGAGCATACCTATAAAACCTGTGCGAGATTTGACAATTTGTTTCAGGCGCAAGTCTTGAAATTTTGAGAAGAGTAGAAGACAGTGAGTAAACGCAAGCAAATGTCTAACGTGAAACGCTGGAAACACAAACGCTACAGAAAGATCTAGAAAGCTCCAAAAACCCAATAAGAAAAGTTGTTAAATTAAATTGACTTCGGTTTACAAGAAGAAAATTGGTTATATTAAAATTGATTTCGGTTTATTTCGGTTTGGAATTGTCTTTGTTAGAAGAAAAGTTGTAAAAACGCTCTCAAAACCATAAAAAAATGTGGTTGTAGCTGTTGTTTTTTTGCATTTTTTGTTTTATAATAAAGATGCGTCTCAGAAGTTGACACTAATATTTCAAAAACATCAAAAGTTTATATATATTCAAGGATTAAACATTTCAGATATGTATCCTACTAATTTAAGAGCTACTAAATAAAATGAGATCATTATCGAAAACCTTAAACTACTTTAAGATTCCACATTCTGCCTTCATTCTCTGCACCTGAACAGATTCGTTTCTTCTTCTCATCCATTTCCTGAGATGAAAGAACTCCACACATCTTCTCCCTGCAAATCAAAACACGCCATTGCCTCTTTGAAGTTCTTCCAACTCATCGGTTCGAGCATCATACAACTGAAACACGAGCAAAGACAGACAATTACAACGTCAAGCTTGACTAAATCTATATCCTATCTCCTTTCAAAAATCAACAAACACCCATTGTCTTGCTCTTCTACCTGCTTTAGATGGTTCATTGTCTTTCGGGTTTCTCTCAACTTATCCAAGTGAGCAATACACTCCTGAAACATGACAAGACATTACAAGTCAACCAATACTGTAACTATATGTCTTTTCAACTTCAGATGGCATAACACCACCACTTCTTGCTTACCGCTCCTAAGGACTTGGCTTCATCCAACGACTGAAACATGAGAAAAAAGATAATCAGATGGAGACATTAGAATCCAGCTGTTGACTTATATATCCTTTAAAAAAAAACACCATTGTCTTGCTTACCTCTCTGGCTTCTTTAAGTATTGTGTTTACACTAGGGTTCAGAGCCTTATCTGAAGGAAAGACAAATAACACGCATTATTGATCATATATACTTGTGTAGAATCCAAATAAAAAAGCTACAAATCATAAGCTATAATAATCAATGAAAGCCACATACTTGTGTAGAATCCAAGAGCAAATATTAGAGATCCCTTGAAACCACTCCAGGATACACCATTCTGCAATTTTCTCTCTCTAAATCTCAGTCCATGGTTTATCACAGATCACGTGAAATAATAGATGAATACAAGAACAAAAGAAGCAGGCGAGTGTTACCTTTAAGAGATTGGATCCCAGGAAGATTCTCATGATGTTCTTGATCCTCTGGAAAAAAACAGAATTTTCAGGATTCTCTTGTTCTTCAATAATATACATAGAAATGGGAGTGTCGACAACAAACAACAGAAGAGATTCTTTCCATGGATTTCACATAAAGTTAGCTAAAAGAATAACAAAACAGGACATATTCGCTCTCAAGTTCTAAGGAAAGAAAAAAACGCCATGAGAGCATCACTTTCGCATAGATTATTTATCTCTTAAAGGGAAAAATGAGGACTTTTCAAGCATTAGCGATCATATGGGTCTAACGGACTCAGGAGAAGAACGACACTGACAACAAAATCGAACAGCATAAACCCTAAAAACCAAATTCAAACAGCAGAAACCCTACAAAAGAACAGACCTAGAAATGCTGAGCGTTGTTTTGACGGTTTTGTCTTCTTCGGTTTCGATTTTGAGAAGACGACAGTGAGTGAACGCTCCGCTTTCAGTTGAAACAAAAGGGAAGAAGGCAAGCCCGGTTTTTGGTTCGGTTCGTTTTGTGAATATTTGACTTCGATTTAATTCGGTTTGACTTCTCTCTTGCCAACCGAGCCGTTGGAAGCTGTTGGGCGGCGTTTGTTGGAAAGGCCCATGAAGTTTGAGAAGCCCAAAAGAAAAAAGTGGTTTGATTGATGTATTCAAGTAAATTAATAGGTACCAAACCAAAATTAACTGTATGTTAAATTGAAATCGATCGTCTCTTATTATGTTTCCCATGTGCGTCGGATCATTTTGCAATAGTCCGAAAACATAATAAGGTTAAATATGATTTACTAGCATCAAATTGAAGAAACTAAATAATGTATAACATCTAGTAAGATTTATACTAGTATAATTATTACTAGGAAAATTAACTCAAAACATTGAGCCACGTAGTCTTTGAAGAGTCCTTAGTTTATTAAGAAATGTCTTCATTCTCTGCGATAAATCAGTAACTTCAGCAGCATGTCTTTCTAATTATTTTTAAATCGGCCATCTGAGCCGAATCTATAGATATACAATTACTATGGCTTCGGGTTTCTTGAGCAAGTTAAAAAAAAAAAAGATAATGATTTAAAGTATAAAAAAATATAAGTTTGAGCGATAATAAACACTCTAACTTTGAACTCCATTTTTACAAAATTATAAGTTTGAGGCCTAAAATTTAGAAATACCTAGAACGCTCCAGCATATTAAACAAAAAAAAAAAATTAGTATACGCTTTTTTATTTTAATAAACTAAATTTTGTAAAAAAGAAAGATTAAATCCAGTTTTTAAAAATAGTTGGATCTTTCGTATGTTTATTTTTTTTTCTCAAAAACATGGGCACCTGGACTCTAGAAAATAAGTCTCATTTGGGATTAAAATTTACCTCAATTCACTTTGATTTGGGAAAAAAATGGGTTATGTTCCGATTTAGGATCGGTTTGGTTTTGTTTTTGTGAATTTACTTACAGTTTATTTCGGCTTGGAGTTGTCTTTGGTTCACTATTTTTAACCGGGAGATATTGAGCCCGTGCTTGATAAAATGCAATTTTGTTATCGCAGAAGATTGTGATAAACAATTTATCCAAAAGTAAGAAAGTAGGAAAATTTGGTAATTTCGGAGGGACCGAGAGGGCATGGGTTTTCACATGGCCGACTCATTAGCTGTCTAATCAATTATCTATTTTATTGTAAACTATTCGTTTGGAAAATCCTAATAATAAACATCTCGAACTTTGAACTCCATCTGATTGATCTAATTAAACACAGTGGATTACAAGGAAAAAGAGAGAGAGAGAAAAAAATATAATAAGAAAAACCCTAATTAGACTCACTTTACATTCTTTTTTAATTAATTATTCCGAGTAATAAGAAAAATTAAGTGTTAAGGAAGAAACGTAGGAATAGAGGAAGTGAGCTGCGTAGAGTGTTGTTGATGTTGATGATCCTTCATTTGTCTCCCCGCCGTGGAAGCGTGGCCGCACCGGTCACATCTCACCGGTGTAAGATTCCGGCGACAAGAAGGACACGAAGATCTAGAAACCAGCCATTTGTCAATACACGCCACGTGGAACGAATGACCACATAGAGGAAGGACTCTGATCTCTTCGCCGTCGGCGAAATCAGTGAGGCAAATCGCGCATTCGGTTGAATCTCTGCCGTCTTCAGCGGCGGCACCGGAGGTTGATTCAGCGGCCGTGAAAGTGGATCTTGGGAGAGACTGAAGCGCTTTCTTCTTCAAGCCTTTGTTCGGCGACGGCAAATCTCCTCCGCTGGTGAACCGCCGTAGCCAAGCGCAGCGTACAACGGCGGCAAGGCCAGCTACGCATATGAGAGCGCAGAGAAGAGCCGACAAGATCACCACCATGTCGGATTCCGCCGCGAGCATCTGCTCCGACGGTTGTGGTGGTGGCGTTGCCGCCGTCTCGAGGATCCTTGACGGTCGAGTCATTTGTTTTTTCAGTTTTGGGGATCTTTTTTCTTTCTTGTGAGTTTGAAGACAAAAGAATGTGAGAGTGATGAAGATAAGAAAGAATCTTGATCCACGTTATAATAGAGACACACAAAGATAGATACATCTACATATATACTCTTTTATAATATTTGCACAATTGATTACAAATAAAATATTATAATATGAAGGTATTAAACAAAATACATATAATAATAATACACACACGCAAAAAAAGTTTGGATGAAGATAAACAAAGTTAGATACTAAATTATTTTCAAATTTAATGGCTAAATTAGTGTTTACATGCAATTTGCATCTTCCTAATTAGAGTATTGTTGTTTCGTGTGGACACATATTATGTTAACGGCTTAAAAACAGACATTTTGCTCTTAAAGAAGATGCCTCTAACTATCCCCAACTTCTTTGATGATAAACCATTTTAAAAGAAAAAGAAATTCGATATGTTTACTTGTTATTATTTTTACTTGATATTTACACTAATATTGCTCATTATTTGATTGTACTTCAATTATATACGCAATAAAAAAAGGTTTTTTATGTTATTTAAATTTATGTATAGTACACAAACTTCATTATTAAATTCGGACTGATAGTGATATTTCTTATTATTCTTTAAACTCGAAGGAAACTTGGAATATAAAATTATTACAAGAAATAAAATAAAATAAAAATAGAAGTAGGTGGGTGGGCTTTATATATAGGTTCAGTTTTGACGAACACATTACCAAAAGGTATAAGTAAGCTCATTTCTTACCTAAACGGCTAAACCTACCTTCGATTAGACCTTTTATATATATGTATGTATATATATAATCTTAAATTTATACTATAGTTTTGATTCATTATAGGGGCAATCATCTGCACTCGTAAGAAATGAAATAAAAGGAAAAAGACAAATGAGAATCAGCTTGTAGAAAATGGTATTGTTAATAACACCGGCCACTTTCGGTTATTGGGTAGTTGTATATATATAAAACTATTTTCAAAATTAATATATTATTTATTCCAGATTTCATTTTTTCGTAGCCATTTCCATTCCAAATATCATTTTTTCTCAAATATTAAAGCGCTTTTTTATAATAAAAACTCATATAAAACCGCTTTGCACATAAGATATAACTTAATTAAAGATAGTGACATCTTATCTGAAAAAAAAAACTCATATAATAGTTGAAACACTTTTTCAAACTGTATGATAGAAAGTTTAAGTAAACTGAGAGAGATCATGTAGAGTTCCCCTTAATTAAGAGTTAAGAGGATACTTAATTACATATGATCTAAAAGATAAAGAATTACATATGCCACGAAAAGATAAGCAAAGACAATAAGTATACTTCCTAAAGTTAACCGACCATTTATCGTCGAACGAGATTTTTTAGATGCTAGAACCTCGAAATTCACATTTTGATTATTAATACGTTTGCTCACTTTTTTGTTTAAATGGTCTCCTCTCCTACTGTGTTTTGGATCTTGTAATTTTTGTATAGTCTAGGTGGGATCTGGCTCCTAATCTTTAAAAGTTGATCAACGTGTCCATAAATTTAGTAGGAATACGAATATTTACATCGAGATATAAGACAGTTTGACACGTAATGAGTATTGGTGATATTTTTTTAGAAAATTTAGAAAGTTTTAGTATGTGTTTAGATTTAATCTCTTCCTTTTACTTTCATAAGAATTCTTTTCCCAAATCCAAACTAATTAACCATGAATGATAGTGGGTGAGAAGAGAAGATATGAGATTTATAATATTTTTGCTTGTTATTATTTTTACTTGATATTTACAATAAAATTGCTCATTATTTGTAATATTTTTTTCCTATTTTATAACAAAGTTGGTGATGACATTTGTCTCCAATTTTTTAGTTATCAAAAAAAAAAAAAAAAAACCATGATGGAATATGTAAAAAATACTTGAAATATTTATGTCATTAAAAATAGATAAATACCCACAATAACCTACTGGTATATATTCACATAAGATAAAACAATTGATATCTTCATTACATTAGCTAAAATCATAAATTCCATCATAAAAACCATATTTTAATTGTATCTCTACGGCTCTACTATATCAACTGTACTAATATCGCAGACTGAGGCATTCTGAAGTAAATCCACATGATGAATGTTCAATTAGTAGACCACAATGAATATAGTTCATAAGAAGTCTGAATCAAAATCTTGGTTCCTTATCTTTTAAAAAATATATGATGCGTTAAATTAATTCTAGGACTATTGGTATTGTTATATTCACAACAAGTTGAATCAATCTTCTCGGTAAACCGCCGTAGCCAAGCCCAGCGTACAACGGCGGCAAGACCAGCTACGCATATGAGAGCGCAGAGAAGAGCTGACAAGATCACCACCATGTCGGATTCCGCCGCGAGCATCTGCTCCGACGGTTGTGGGGTGGCGTTGCCGCCGTCTCGAGGATCCTTGACGGTCGAGTCATTTATTTTTTAAGTGTTGGGGGATCTTTTTTCTTTTTTGTTTAAATGGTCTCTTCTCCTACTGTATTTTGGATCTTGTAATTTTTGTATAGTTTAGGTGGGATCTGGCTCCTAATCTTCAAAAGTTTATCAACGTGTCCATAAATTTGGTAGGAGTACGAATTTTACATCGAGATATAAGACAATTTGACACGTAATGAGTATTGGTGATATTTTGTTAGAAAATTAAAACCGGCAAGGTACAATTAAATTACGTGTAAACTATTTTAATTTAGAAAGTTTTAATACGTGTTTAGATTTATGGCTTAATTGGTAATAGTTGTAGTTTTATGTTTTTTTACAAAAATGTAGTTGTAGATTTTTTTTTGTAGTTGTAGATTTTATTTTTTAAAATTTTAGCTATAGAATTATAAAATTTGGAAAGCACAAATTTATGTGTTTTAAAAAATAATACTTTGTGTAGTAAAAAAAATAAAATAAAATATTTTGGCTATAAACAAATAAAAAAAAGACAAAATTTATAAAACATGATTAGTATGATTTAGAATTTTAAACATAAATATTGCTGTATACAACATCTACAACAACAACTAATCAAGCTTTTAATTTCTATCTTTTACATTCATAAGAATTCTTTTCTCAAATTCAAACTAATTAACCATGATGATAGTGAGAGAGAAGAGAAAATATGAAATTTATAATATTTTTGCTTGTTATTATTTTTACTTGATATCTACAATAAAATTGCTCATTATTTGTAATATTGTTTTCATATTTTATAACAAAGCTGGTTATGACATTTGTCTCCAATTTTTTAGTTATAAAAAAATACCATGATGGAATATGTAAAAAAGATCTGAAATATTTGTGTCATTCAAAAATAGAGAAATACTCATAATAAAACAATTGATATCTTTATTACATTAGCTAAAACCATAAATTCCATCCCAAAAACCATATTTTGATTGTAACTCAACACTAATATTGCTGAGGCATTTTGTTTAAAAGACCAGAAGTAAATCCACTTGATGAATGTTCAATTACTAGACCACAATGAATTTAGTTCATAAGAAGTCTGAATCAAAATCTTGGTTCCTTATCTTTTAAAAATATATGATGCGTTAAATTAATTTTAGGGCTATTGGAATCTGTGTTATGCTTTACATGCAAAATCAAAATTAAAATTCGGTCAATTGTTAAACAAATAATAGCCGTCACTTGTTATTAAACAGATAATGTTTCCTCTTCTTTTAGCATTTTGTGTAGCCCATTACACCCAATAGGAAAAGAAAACCAACTTTACCCAATTTAAAGACATTTATTTTTTTATAATAAAAATAGTAGAACTTCAAGAATAAAGACATCCGAGATGGAATCTCTTTACCTGAATGCTTTTTTAAACGTTTCTTTACTTGAATGCCAGACATGTGAATGTTGCTAAAAAACAAAGCAAAAAAACAAAAACGAAAGAAAACCAATAATGGATGAAAAAGAATTTTGGTTTTGGCTTTGGTTTTGGTTTTGGTTAGTGGAGTTTATGTATCTGGACATAGAACAAAACATGGTCCAAAGGATTTGTATTTAATTCAGTTGCTTACAGAACATCTGGAGTTTTGATTTCTACTGTAGTTTACACTAATTAATCAGTAGTTATAGAGCACAAAATTGGAAAATATTGCAAAATTAATAACTCAATTTAATATCAATTCTATTTCTTAAAACAATCTTTAACATATATTGTTTCTAAAGATTTTATGAATCATAGTTTGCAATAGATTAAATCAGTGTTAAAAAAAAAAAAAGATTTTATGAACTACCAACATTTGTTTCAAAATTTAGACCTTAATAACTGCAGCATTTGTCGAAAAAAAGTAAAAAAAAAAATCCTGAGCTTTTCAAGTATTATTTATTCTAGAAGTAATTATGAATCCTACTTATGAAAAAAAGGTACACATGCGCTTGTCTGTCTTCTTCGACCTTTTCAATCTTTTTTGTTCAGTTTAAAGCGAACTATATGCCTTTTAGTTTTAAGTTATCTGTGAAGTACCAATCACAAGGATTTTGTAAGGAAACCTTTTATCATCTTTCAGATATCGAATGATATGATATTTTATATCCCATGTGCCTCCCGCTGCGCATAGCTTATCCATCACCTATCTCAATTATTTAGCATCATTATCATTATATATAATGGCCACTCTTAACAATGTAGAGGATAAAACAAACATAACTACTTTTGTAGCTTATCACTGAAATTTGACGTTTACGATAAGTTTCATTAATCACGGTCAAATTGTATACTCCCTAAAGAGTTATTTGTTTCTAAAAATTAATCTAAATCTAGTGTTAGTGTCATTATCTAACCTCTAAAGTTGAACCAATCCTGCAAAGCGAGTCCATAAATTAAGTATGTTAATTTAAAATGCTATGATTTTTGGTGAAACCTTGGGAGTTACTATGAGTTATAGAAGAAAACTAGTTAAGAACACAAATGAACATTTTAAAAGAAAAAAAAATTATTTTCTTAAAACTTGGTTAAGATATCTATAAACCTAATATCAGACAACCTTTACCATATGGGCTAATTAAACGCTTAATATTGATGATGCATCTACACATATACTAGGTTTTAGTTTCAGCTTCTGCTGAGGCATCTCTTGAGCCTGGTCCATAATCCAACTTGATATACCATGTTAAGATGATTCTGATTAACAGGATCTTTGAAATCTGCTTTTGTGCTTAGCTCCTCAAAGGCATTGACTAGATTATGTAGCCTTGCAACAAACTCAATCAGAAGGGAAGCAAACGTAGCCAGAGACAAAGAACTCGCACTTTCGTATACTTTACGTTCTATCTCATTCACCACGGAACCATCAATGAAGGACATGCTTGGCCACGTCTCTCGGTTCCTTAACATCACACTCTCTGTTGATATCTGAGATTCATTACCACTAGCTGGATTCTGATTGTTGCTACTGTTGGTATCCCATATCTGACTTAGTGATTTAATCACTTTGATCTCATCGTCGTCTCGTGCTTCTTCTGCTGCTTCAGCTTGTTCTTTAATGGCTGCCCAGCTTTCTGAGTTGACAAGAAGATACGATTTACTATCTATTTTCATCTGAAGTTCCTCTGCTGCACCTTGAACGTCCTTCAGTATCTCTCTGGGGCTTAGCTTCTCCATTTTCTTTACTTTTTCTCCAATCAAACGCAGAACTTTTGCTCCTTCGATGCCAACTCTTCGAAGCTCGTAACGGAAAGCTTGTCGTTTTTCTGGAGCTGCCTGCCAAATCGTAGAGCTCATTACCTCACCATGTAAGAGTGTTGATGAAGTAAAGAGCAATATAGTGTCTCTCATATCATTCAATCAATTTTACACAAAATAAAATCCATTCACCGTTGCAGAATTGTCGATGTAACAGTTCTCATAATTTAAAATAGATTAATAAATGAGTGTTAAAAAAAAATGATAGTCCACAATTTAGGGATGGGCAACTAAACCGAACTAAACCTAACCGAAAAGCAGTTAAAACCGAAATCAAACCAAACTAAAATAGTCTTTTATTACTAAACCAAGCCAAACAAAACAAATAGAAATTCATTAAAATTTTATCCTATTATAGTAAAACCTCTATAAATTAATAATGTTGGGACTCTCAAATTTTATTAATTTATAGAGTTATTAATTAATCGATAAATTAATAATTATTAATTTATCGATAAATTAATATTTTATTAATTTATAGAGATATTTTTAGTTTGAATTTTTAATATTCATCAAAAAATCAAAATTAATATTTTCAAAAATGTAAAATTCATTCAATATGTCATAATAATGAATTTAGAAAATAAATCAAACAAATTTTATAAATTTGAAACAACAGTATTATCATAGTTTACTATATTATATTATTAATATATTCTTAAATGTATAATTATTAATTTATATTATTATTGGGACCATACTTTTACATAGAACTTTCAAAAAAGTATTATCTTATTATCTTATCGAATTTTGTCAGTTTTTACACTGGCCCGATTTGGGACCGGCAAAAATTATTAATTTATAGTGATTATTAATTTATCGAATATTAATTTATAGAAGTTTTACTTAGTTCTATAAATATTGAAAATAGATATACATATTGAATAGTTATAGTCTTAAATATTCATTATAAATTTTTCTATGTTTCTAAGTTTTCTATTTTTAACCAAACCTAAATTGAATAGCACAAACCAAATCTTATTTCAAGCCGAATAAACCAAAAACCGAAAAAGCAACCAAAATCGAACCATGAAACCGGATTGCCCACCCCTATCTAATCCACATGCAAGTAAAATACAGTAACTTGTGAGCTTTCAAACATCATAATGTTTTATGCATTTTCATGAAATACAGTATTATAAGGAACCTGGATCTCTGAAAGAATGCAACCATGCATTGCCATGACCGTGAAAGCGCAATGCCTTACTGCACCACTAAGTTTGACATAGTTTTTCCAGGGATGGTTTAACGTTTTGTAAGGTCCATGTGGAGGCTCCCATATGGTAAAATCAAGCTGCAAAAAAAAAAAAAAAAAGAAAAAGAGTTCTTAATATGCTAATATCATCCAATATATTTTTACCTAGTTGTATCATTTGTAGACATATACCAGAGAATCTTCTTGACTTGTAGATTGAACAACGGATCTATACCCGCTGTATAATGGATCATCTGAAGCTTGGTATATGAGAATCTTCGAGGGTACTCTCTCGTATTCCACACATTGCAAGTAACCATTAACACATCCTAATATGTTTTAACCAAGAATAAAACAAAACCTAAAAATCAGTCAAGGATACGAAAATAAAAATAAACTAAGTTGTTATGTTTGTTTACCTTCTAGAGAATTTGCCACACTCTTGAAATTTGAAGCAACCAGATTATGGAGATCTTCCCCAGCCCATGTTGGAAATATGAAAATATTCACAACCAAACAGATGGTTGCACCCAGCACAATAAACAAAAACCTGTAATACGCAGTGCTAAAGAAATCTCCGGTGTTGTTTCCCGAAACAAGAACGATACAGTATGTCAACAAGAACACTCTGAATGCATATTCATATGGCTTCATGGCCGGGTGGAGTTTCAAGTAACTAGCACTGAAACCTGATAGATCAAGATCAAAGAGAAATGTTATTATCCATCTCCAAAAATCTCATGTATGAGACAAGGAAATGCGGCGACCTGCAAGGAAAATGCAGATTATGATGATGACTTGCTCGAAATCTCCTGATAAAACAGAGAGCCTAGCGATGCCAAGAGCAAGTCCCCCAGCAGAGAATGTGCCTATAGCTCTGTTGAATCCTTTGACCAAAGTTGCTCCTGCAAATTAAACATGAGTTAATTAAATGAATAAGAGAGTCCGTAAGAAGATATAATTATTGATTTTTTTTATCGACTATTTTTGATATATAAATAATAAAATCCAAATATCTCAAACACTAGAAATGGATTCAAAACTTATACTACATTGAAACATAAATACTATTATAAACATCATCAAAAGCATTAAAAGAGTATCATTAATGAGAGTTAGACAAAATCATTCATGTAATAAATGAAGAATGTTAAATAATTCAGAAGTAGAAAAATTCAACATTAGCTTTTCTAAACACAATCAACTTTTTTTTTAATCAATGTATATGAAGCTTTTTTGACAGCATATACTATAACCATCAATAAAATCTAATGTACACTAAACAGCAAACACATATATTTGGTTAACCGTAAATTTATAAATTCAAAACCAACAAATTTAGTACTATGTAATTATAAATTATAAAAAAAATTATAGACGGAAGTATATTGATTCATGGCTGTACATATACCACCTAATGCCGCTTAGAAGGACCGCTTATTAACAAAAATACATAATTCTAACAGTTAATTAAGAGAATCGGCATGGCCTACGAATCATTAAGAGGTAAGAGCAATCATTAAGTTCCCATTTAGCATTAAGAAGAATGTATAATGAACCAATCTTGAATTCGGTACCCATAAAATGAATTTCATAAACAAAAAAAACGCAAGACTTTGAAAAGATCCAATCAAACAACAAACAAGCTCCCATAAAATCGAATCAAATTTAAAAAAAAAAATAACGGAGAACGAACAAAATACCTACGGGATACTCGAAAACCACAACGACAGTAAGGATGGCCCAAACATAGAATTTACTAGCATCATGCAGCGTCTCTTTGAAGAAAATGACAAAGGAGCAGAGTGAGAGAGCCATTCCCATCTTGACGGCGAAGAAGAGCTTCCGACGATCATACAATTTGGCGATCCCACGGAAACATCGACAGCTTGAGTCATTGAAACCTAACTCTGAGTATCTTTTGCGTGAGAGAAGCCTCTCTCTGCTTTGCTCTGGAAGAAATGACCCCATTTTCTCCTTAATTACCTAATCTTGTTTGTCTTTTTTTAAATAGAAAAATATTATTTGTCAGGGATTGCATTGTACGTACGTTCTGCATATATACCTTCTAATTTCAATTAAATGAATTTACCTTATTTAGTTCATAATAAAGAATGCGGGAAAAAAAGAAAGTTTGTGGACCTGTGAATCTGTGATGAGTGTACCAATAATCAAACGGTGATTAAATATGTGCGTATCTTAGTATCCACGTAGAGACAGTTAGGCAAAATACCAAAAGAGCAGTTTCATGGTTTGTGTGACTTGTGAGTGTGTGAATGTGACATTTTGAAAGCGTTACGATTTATTACATCTACCGCTCACTCACCATTCTTCAAAGGTTAAGCTTACCCACCCTAACTTTAGTTTTTTTTTTCAACGTTTTAGTTTATTTATATTGAAAAATAAATTCGTATGGATGTTGGTCGACTGATGGTTTTTGTTTAATTATGGTTTTGTTAAAATAGAAAACATCATGTACACACCCACACACACATATATATAGATTGATTACAATGTAATTACTCTGGAGATTCATTTATTAATTGTTTTTGAGATATCAGATCTGTATAGTAAAAAAAATTTTCTGTTTCAACAATATTGGGAATTCCAAATTTTATTATTTTACAGATTAATTTATTAATTGATGAAGTAATAATTACTAAATAATAGATAATTAATAATGATTAATTAATAGATATATAAATTAATAATTTATAGATTTTTTTAGTCAATGATCTTTTATATTAATAATTATTAACTAATAGATAAATTAAAAAATTATTAATTTGTAGAGATAATGTTTTAGTCAATGATCTTTAAAATTAATAATTTTAAATAATATATAAATTAATACTTTAAAAATTTGTAGAGATAAAATTTCTTGCTCAATCATCTTTTATAATATTTCTCTTTTGTAATCTTTCTTATACTTCAGAAATACTTGTAGTTATTAGAAATTTTCATTTTTTGTTAATGCAAATCGAAAAAACAACACAAAGGATTATTGATTCAATCATATATATAACTAGAAGTTAACTCGCACTTCGCGCAGGATTTTTATTTATTTTTGAGTTTTAGTTATAGTTTTTTTGTATGATTTTGTTATGCTGGTTTCGTGTTGTTTTAATACAAAAAAGTCATCTGATATTTTAATTTTTATATATTTGTATGTCATGAAATTTTAATATGTGCTTTCATTAAATTATTATTTTTTACTATCATAAATATTTTAGTAATCACCTTTAGACTATTTGTATTCAATATTATTTGATTATTACTATATTCTTTTTTTATAAAGATTATTATTATATTAGTTTATGTGTATGTTTTTTTTTCCATCTAGTTTGTGTGTATATATTTGTTATTTAATATTTAGTCCCCATATATAGATTTTCGTTGTGATGTTATATTCATTTTGTTTTTAATTTCTCACACTGATACTCTTGTGCTAAATGTCCATCTATGTTTTGTTTAGTTTGACATTATATTGATTAATTTTAACTTTTTTTTTCTTTTTCTAAACCTAACATTATTGTAATTTTATTGTTTGATATATTTTTCTTATTGTGACATCTATTCTTATAAATAATTTTTTGTTCACAGCTTTCAAATATAGTTTATTTAAAATTATAAATTTACTTTATTATATGATTTTTATTATTAGGGTTTCAAAATTCTATACTTTAGACGCTGATATATATTGAAGTGTTTATATTAAATTTGTATTTAATTGGATTGTTTAACATAGTTTTCTCATATCTCAATTGAGTTAGGTTTGGTTAGAAATTATTTTTTTTATTACTAATTTTATTTGTGGTAACTTCAAATTGATTTAAAATTTACATATAATTTTGTAAGTTGTTAGATAGTTCTGATTTTTGCATTTTACCTGATTCTGAAGAAATCTTCCTTTTCTCTTTTATATTTATGGAAGAGTTTTATGGTACTGTAATTTGTATAAGTTGAGCTTCTGCTATTGGTCAAATGTCAAATGTACTTATGAGATTTAGGTTTTGTGGGCTAAGCTTGATTGTGAAATTTGATTATAAATTATATTGTTTTTATTATGAAATATTTTAGTATGTGATAGATGGTGAGGTAGCATAAAAAAGTAAAGAATAATTTATTTTATATATTTGGTAGGCGTAAATGTATTGTTTTGTCTATGTTTCCTTCTCTCTTTTCTCGCCAATTGCTTTTTGCAAATTCTGCTGTTTGATGTGGTTTTTCTTGCGACATCGATTTTGAGAGATAATGTATTATTCACAGGCTTCAAATGTTGTTTATTTATATTTATTCTATTAAATTATTTAAATATTTCAAAGTTCCATATTTTTGCTTTTGATATTTATTGGAGTATGTTTCGGTTAAATTTGTGGTCGATCAGATTATTTATATAACTCTTCTTCACCCCAATTGCAAGTACCCATCATCAGCTAACAATTGCTGGTTGTTACTTTTATTGTTGTAGTTGGGTTTGATAGAGAATTATATATTTCTTGTTTTCTAATTGTAATATATACTATAAAAGATGACCAACTCTCTCCATATGAGTGTCACATCATCATTTGATTTATTGTGCATATCCGCTACCGAAACATCGGATAATGTTTCATGGGTCTACCCTTCAGATAGATGTGATTTTAAACATATTTGATGTCATTTTTAAAAATTTAATAATACAAATTATATAAAATATAGTTAATGCAAAAAATTAATGTATTATTAATCATAATACTAAAAGAATTTAAAACATATGAAGTATTAGATAATATATTTTAATAACAATATATACTTAATATCCAAAAATAATTATTGAATATCTATTTTGTCATAGTTTTTTAAAAAATATTAAAACAATTTATATTTCTTATTTAAGAGTGTTCTCTTATTTCTAATTAATATTATAAGTTATTATTATAAAAAAAATTATACAAGCATAAAAATAACAATAACAATAAAAATAACTTAGCATTACCCAATCTAACACACAATAACATGACAAATAAAATAACATGACAAATAAAAGTTACAAGAGGCGATTCATCATTTTGATTAATCAAAATAGTTTATTTTTTTGAAGATAAAATATATATAGAATACAAGATGAGCAGATTTATATAAAACAGTGCCAATCATTGCTGTGGATAATTTGAACACTTGAGTTCAAGTTTAGATGATATCTATGCTATAAATAATATTAAAAACTGAAATTAGAAGAGTAATTAAAACTTGCAAAAAACAAAGAAGAAAATTAATTAAAAGTTATAAAACAACATGTAACATAACATAACCTAATGCATGCTTGCATATATCCTAATAACATAACATAATGTTATTAACGTATATGTAATGTAATGCATGATTGATTTTAGGTAACATAATGCATATGTATCGTAATAACATAAGGCAATGTTACTAACATAATGTAAAATAAATTTGAAAAAAGAATTGTTTTGGTTGATGAAAAATTGTTAGAGATTTTGTTTTTTTTATATATATGTGAATATTATTTTCCTTTTTTAAGAATTAGTGTTTTAGCTTATATTTTCCTAAATTGAAATTAATTTTATTTAGTTTAATTATATTTTATTTTTCTTGATTGAAATATAGTTTTTTATTTTCTGAATATTATTTTCCTTTTTCTTATATGATTAGTGTTTTATCTTAGATTTTCTTAAATTGAAGTTAAAGTTATTCAATTTAATTTTTGTTTGCTTTTTTAAATTGATATATATCTTTTTTTCTTTTAGAATTAGTGTTGTACTTTATATTTAATTGACATGTCAAAATCTTAACAATTGAAATCGCCACATGTCACGATCATATGAATTACTAACTTTGGTACATCCAATTTTATATAATAAAAGTTTAGAAACTTATATTTCCATCTAAAGTGTCCACATCATCAATTTTTTTATTTTTATTGGGTTTTTTGTTAAATGAAAATGTTTTAGACTTATATATTTTAAAATTTTTTTTAAAAAAAATAGTCTGCAAATTCTTTTTTAAATTGAAAATTAAGAATACTGATTGCAATACGAGTCAAAGATCATGTAGAAAAAAGTTGAATAGCAAACAAAAAAGTAAAATGACAGAAAAACCTACGAAAAAATTATCAAACTATAAAAACCCAACTAAAGAAAAATTATATGTACAAAACTAAAGTCAATTCACTCTCTCACCCCAAAACACTACTTCTATACTTTCAAATACAGAAAAACAAAATTCTAACAAACAATTCTAAAAAATGTTAGAAGTCTATATGTTGTTACAATTCCAACCGACTATGTCAGTTTCAATAATTTATGTTTCAAACGCTTTTTAAGAATTTGACATGTCAATTAAATAAAAAGTTTGATCAGTGCATTGCATGGATTTATTTTTCAATTAAATTTCCACTTTTGTAAGTTTGCATACATATTAATATTAATACTATGTTTACATTTATCTGTTATATGTATTAGATTTAGAAGTTTTTTGAAATGTTGTCTTTTCTAATCTTTTAATAAATGTAGATATATTATAATATTATTTTTGAAATTTAAATTGTGATATGCTAATTGTTTATAATTTAGTAAGATATAAATTTTTGCATACACTTATACGAATAAGTTTCTGGAATTTGTAACACACATGCAATTGGAAACCATATGGCATTAGTTTGCTCAGTTTGTTTAAAAATATTTCATAAACGCCTACACGAAAAATTACTATACGAATAAATTTCGTAACCAATCCATCACGAAAACAACAATGAAAGAAAAAAAATAGTAAAATGGTAGAGCAGTTTTCAGACTAATCCAGCGACATCGTAGAAAAATGTCAGAAATTCGATTATCAGACGTATCTATATTATAAATATAGTAATTATTTTTCTTTTAGAATTAGTTTTGTACTTTATATTTGCTTGACATGTCAAAATCTTAACAATTTAAATCGTCACATGTCACAATCATATGAATTACTAATTTTGATACAATTAAATTTATATAATAAAGTTTGAAGAATTTATTTCCATCTAAAGTGTCCACATCATCAACTTTTTAAAAATTTATTGGGTTTTTTGTTAAATGAAAATGTTTTGGACTTATATATTTTAAAAATTTAAAAGCAAAAAAAAAACAAATAGTTTGTATACAAACCA